ATGGAATGAACTTAAAATTGCGTTAACATCTGCCTCTTGGGATCAAGTGTTTGTTTACGACTGTGTCAATGCTACCTTGTCAAGTTGGACAAAAATGTTTATGGAAATTGTGGAAAAGTATGTTCCTAAAATTGAAATTAGGAACTCAAATAGCACTCCATGGATTGACCAGGATGTAATTCGTCTTCTTCGAAAGAAGGACAAACAAAGGCGTGTCGCAAACAAAAGCTTTGACAACGAGGATGTAAATAAGTATAAGCAATTGCGTAAAGAAGCCAAACAACTTATCGAAGCTAAGTATACTGAATATTTAAACAACATGCGTATGTCTATAAAAGAGAACCCCAAACGATTCTGGTCGTTTGTAAGAGCTAAATCTGCGAAGCCTGGTATACCGGAGTTTGTCAACTTTTCCAACGTGTTTGCTTCGACCCCTGTCGATAAAGCTAATTTGTTTAACGTTTATTTTCAGTCTGTTTTTACAGCGACTGATAATGTATGCAGTAATAATGACTATGCAAATTTAGACTCCCACACATCATTAACAAACATCACGCTATCTGAAAACGAAGTGCTTAACTGCCTACAGAATATTAATGTCTCGAAGGCAAGTGGTCCGGATGGTATACCAGGAAGACTTTTAAAAGCTATTGCAACCGAGATAACACCATCCCTGACTAAAGTTTTTAACTTATCGTTGTGTTCTGGAAAAGTGCCTTCAGCATGGAAAACAGCTCTTATAACTCCAATTCTAAAAGAGGGTAATCCCCATGTAGTGACAAATTATAGACCCATTTCCCTCTTATCGATTTTGTCGAAAGTCTTGGAGAGATGTATATACAATCATTGTTACGAGTTTATACAACATAAACTAACCTTCTATCAACATGGTTTCGTTCAAGGCAGAAATTGTGTTACCCAGCTCGTCCGATTTTATCATAAAATCCTTGAGGCTTTAGATAATGGGCATGAGGTTGATACAATTTACTTAGATTTTTCGAAGGCCTTTGATCGAATCTCACATCGTCCACTTCTTGACAAATTGAAACGTCATGGCTTTGGAGGGACACTTCATGACTGGTTTGCGGACTATATTACTGCAAGATCCCAAAAAGTTGTAATAGACGGTGCCTGCTCAGATCTACTAAGTGTTACATCAGGGGTACCCCAAGGGTCTATTCTGGGGCCTCTATTGTTTGTACTCTATATTAACGATCTTCCGGAGTGCATACATAAGCCAACAGATATTGCGCTATTTGCAGATGATTCAAAGGTGTCTCAGATAATTGGGAGTTCCAATGACGATATTAACCTCCAATGCAACTTAAATCGATTACATTCCTGGAGCATTGAATGGTACATGGATTTCAATGTTACAAAATGTAAAACAATGCGAATTACGAGAAAGAAAACTCCCAGGTTGGAAACTGATTATACCATTGATAACAACTGGCTAGAAAGAGTAACCTACATCCGAGATCTTGGAATCAACGTCACCAGTGATCTAAAGTGGGCTACTCATATTTCCGAAATAACTTCAAAGGCAAATAGGACACTTGGACTAGTGAAGAGAACATGTGTGGATCTAAAGGACTTAAAGACCAGAAGGTTACTTTACTGTACATTAGTTCGCCCATTATTAGAGTATGGAAGTGAATTATGGTCTCCCTATGAAAAAAAATACATTGCACTAATTGAAAATGTCCAACGTAGAGCCACCAAATTTATACTAAACTATCCAAAGGACACTGATTACAAAAGTAGAATGATTATGCTCGATCTCCTTCCACTTGAGTCTCGTCGGCAAATGAAGGACTTAATATTTCTCTTTAAACTCAAGAATGGGTTATATAGTCTTGACTTTGAGGAATATGCCGAGAATGTTCAGATGAAGCCTCAATCTGGTTATAATTTAAGAAATTCTCATCAAGATAATTTTTCTGAATTTAGGTATAGAACAAACTATTTTGGTTATTCATATTTTCCTAGAGCTATACGCTCATGGAACAGTCTACCTCCTACTTTAAAAACTATTGCAAGAATAAGTACTTTTAAAACTGCATTAAAGGAACTCTACTCTTTGAGACTGGTAGATAGTAGTGACTTTTAACTTAGCTGAAATTATATAGTATTGACAATGTGGTGTTGTATTTAATTAATGGCATGTTATGTATGTATGTATAGTTAAATGGTAGCTGTAATCAATTGGGACTATGTCCTGTGCGGCCACCTTTTGCCAATGTAAATATTTTATTTTTGCAAAAAAGTGATTAAAAAAAAAAAAAATAAATAAAAAAAAAATATATAATTTAATGAATATTCGATAGGTTGTATATCGGATTGAGCGGTGTTTCTGTCGTATTAGCTACATTTATGTACAGTACAAGCATAAGTAGCAATATTCTTCCCCAATTTTTTTCGGTACAAAAGGACTAGTTAAAAAGTCTAAAAATGCTGCTTAATTTTAAAAAAAATATGAAACCACGAATATGCACCCCGCAATAGACAACTTGCATGTTAGACCAGGAAAAAAGTAAATTCCGGTAAAGAACCTATTAAAATTAGTAAAATTGCAACCATGTAGGTACGAAATGTTGTAAAATACGGAAAATATAGCCTTGCGAAGTTTGCATATTTTGTATATATTTTGTATTACGTGAGGAAATTGTTACCATTTTTGAGAAAAAAATGGTAACAATCTCCGCAGTCCGCACGTAATCCAAATATATACAAAATTTGCAAACTGTGCAAGACTATATTTTCCAAGCTTTACAACATTTCGCAACCAAATTTTGCAATTTTACTAATTTCATTATGTTCTTTTTAGCTGTGGTGTTTGATTCTCATCTCTTTACTTAGATTAAAATTGAGTACAGGCAAGTTGTCCATTGATGGAAGGAAATTCAACCAGGGAACGAGGTTGAAGCCTTGAAGGAAACTTTAATTTATGAAGACTATACTTGGAATGATTCCAACTAAACATTTTTTTCCACATTATCAAAAGAACTGTTGCTTATGGCAGGCTTTTATGGCATGTATGCAGAAAGTGTCGTTGTCTGAAACCGATCGTTAATTGGTCACCCTGCAGATTAATATATTATAAGACAGAATTCAATTGTATTCTTAGGATAATCTGTTAATTAGTTTTTGTGGTTAGCCCGTTCGCGGGCTAACCATTATGTACACGCTAAAAAAAGTTGTGAAGGTTGTGAAGTTGTGACGGAGCGTGTTCGGCTTTACTTCGGAAACTGTCGTTAATGCCATGATGCGATATAAATATTGATACAGTACAGATATTTTGATATAGTGATACAGTATTAAATGCACAGTCCACAGATCTGCGAATAAAACATCAATATTTCATCACAAATACAGGTAAGCCAATTATTTTCCATCTCTAGTCATTTATAATGCTAAAAACATCACAATTTTGGTCTGCTCTGGTCAAAAATATTTGATCAGGCTCCATATTTTTGCACACATTCAAAAAGTTGAACGAAGCCATTGTTGCTTGCACTGATCTTAGATCAGGCCCTTACGGCATGAGGTCCACGTATCAAATAGACGCTGAATAGAAACTGAAATATAAAATCAAATCAAACTTGCCATTGTGCAGTTAAACTGAAACCAACCTTGCCATATTTGTGCAGGTATATTGTAAAGAGCAAACCCGGTTTGGGGATTCATATGCTACAAACTGACCTAGCTGTCAACTTGCAGGTGAACGATTTACGACATTTACAAACCGCAACACAAAACAACATTGACTGTTGAACTTGACTGAAAAATATGAGTGTAGCGATTGAGATCAATCGTTCAAGAATTAGTTCACACCATAAATTTACACAAGGAATTTACATTCTTGAATCAAATGTTGATGATGTTCTGTTTAAAAGTATTTTACTTGCCATGTCTTAAAAATCTAGTGACTAAAACAGAAAAATATAATGAAGAAAACAATGTGTTGCCATGTTACTATATTCTATTGTTTATAATGAAATTAAATCAGTTAATATTTGGGACACATCCATCCATAGGTGTCGAAAGATAGCTAAGTGGGGGGACCATATTCATATATTTGTGTTCACAGACCTTAAAAACAATCGATTTCAAAAGAAATTAATAATGCAGAACACGAATATATGAATATGGTCCCCTTCACTTATCGATATTTCGATGCCTATGACATCCACTATGAACCAGATTTTAGTTTATGGCAACAATTTATATATTGTACATGCAAGCGAGGTTCACCTCACATTCACATGCTAGTATGGCTTGCGAGTAGTGAAACATACTGTAGCGTATTGTTTTGACCTTTGGGAACTAACTGCAGAACTAATGACATTTGACTAAAAGGAAACAATATGGTGTGTATTGTAACACATGGCTGAAGTGGAGAACAGGCCATGGAATATAATATATTTCCAGTATAGTAATATTACTTTTTTAAATATTGTAGATGGAACAAAAACTCAAAATAATAATCTGTAAAACTAACCATCTCTACCACCATTTAATTCCACCTGGCGAATCATGCTAGACTGTTTACTGCATTCTCTACATCACTGTGAAGATGTTACTGGTTGAAAGAATATTTTACCTGTCTCATTTGTAAATAAGGAAAAGTCTGACCTTTAAATTTATACAACTGAATGATATGCTGTATGAGAATTTCTAATGGTTTGTCAACTGATAATGTATCAAGTGGTGTCTACTATTGGATAATGCTGAAAAGTAAATATTAGAAAATAAAACTGTATGAATAAATAAGATTTCTATCTGTCAGTGGCCAATTAAATATTTCAGATCAGGAGCAAAAACTGTATGGAATCAGAAGGAATCTTATGCACCTTTAATGGTGTGCATACAGTATATCAGGACGCTTTTCAATTAATAACAGAAGATGTATTCATCACAATTTTGGACTCATGAGCTAACACCTGCTATCCTGGAATGAATGGTGAATGTACTGTATCCACAGTGGAAAGAATAAATGACTTTGTTTCTCACGTTACATGTAATACCTTCTCAATATTAAAATATCGAACTTTCGAGGGTAATGTCAATGCTAAGACTATTTAAGCTACTATTTTTTAAGATTAGTATAATATTTTTATTATCAAGATAAATTGTCTATTCGAGACCTCGAACTGTTGTAGTCTAGTTATTGTCGTATCTTATACTAAACTACGTTGAACTTTAATTTACCGATGTACAAGATGCGGAACACGGGATATATTTGCTGTTGACAAGGTATTCTGCCCAGGGGTGAATTGGAGGGGCAGGGCTTTCTATTTTTGATGATTGCATAATCTCTTAAATCATGTTTGAAAGTTTTTTGAAATTATGGTGGCGCCTCGTGGAAAACGGCACCCTATTAAAGTGTATCAATAATTAGCGATAATTTCAGTGATTTCTCTTTTGTTGGCATATAATCCACTAATGCCGTACGCAAATGCATGTGCGCTTAGCGAACCTATTTTTATTCCAAAGGCTAACCACATGTACGCAATGCGTACCTATTTTTTAATTATGATGCAAAGCTGGACATGCATAAAAAGTCGAAAGCTGCACTTTTGCTCCATTTAACCGTATTTTACATCCAATACTTCACCGCACTAAGATGACAAAACGTAGAATTCGAACATATATATGTTGCATGGGATTGTTCATGTTTATATCCATTGACCATTGTTTTATGGTTCAGCTACAGCACAGTATTTATTATTGTGGTTTACGCCGCGCTTGTTTTCTTAGTGCTATTCACAGGGTATGCTTATATTAGGATTTTTATCGTTGGAAGACAGAAACTGGGTCATTCAGGGAACCGACCCGGGGCAGCTGAGCAAACGCAAGCAGGATTGAACAAGAAAAGATCATTCGTAAGGGAAATAAAGCTGGCAAAATCGTGTTCATTTGTTACCTCATGTGTTTTATTCCAGGACCTTTAATTTACTTCATAGCCAGAAAATGATACACATAGCATACGTCATGTAAAACGCTCATGGATTTTGGCATTTTCGCGTTGAATTCAAGTCTTAATTCACTCATCTTCTTCTGGGCAAAGCCTATATTGAAAAACGAAGCTATAAAGGTGTTGAAGAGACTTTGCCACCAACATGCAAATGATTTTTGACAAACGCCATTTATGTATTCGGTTTGTGCAACAGCTCTATGGAACAATCTGCCAATTGAAATCAGCCGTAGTTCTACATTTTTTTGGGTATTATTAATTTATCAACATAGCTATTAGGTTTACTGCATGTATATTTGTACAGCGCATTTGGAAAAGACGTCAACAAAGCTAAATGGTTTACCCTCAATGATATGCACAAACAACAACTTGTATACCTAGCGTACAAATGCTATCATGAATTATCTCCTCCAACTTTGCAGTCAATCTTTTCGAAAAATGTTCACCGCTACCAACTTAGAAATAAAATGACTTCTAAACTTCCTAAACCGAACACGGACTTTCTTAAGAAATCAATCTCCTTTCAAGCTGTTAGTCTATGGAACGGACTGAGCCTTGAACTGAAAATTAGTAGAACGTTTAAAGAATTTCAAAAGTCTGTTAAAGCGCTTAAGTTGTAATAGATGTGTGTATAATAGTTTGGGTCATGCAAGTGTCAAATAATGTGATTGTTTGTTATGTGTTTTTATGTGAACAATTATGCTTTAGTGAACAGTTACTCTATAGTCATGTTTTTGTGGAATTTGTCAGTTAGTTATACGACCACATCAGCTATGCTGTAAAATTATCGTGTTAAAATACATGCTTTTATTATTATTATTATTTGATGAAGCGAATTTAGGATTTAATGATTAATCTTAGAATTTAATCATTCAATCTTAGGATTCAATTATTCAATTTTAGGATTCAATCATTCAACCTTAGGAATAGACGATTCAGTCTAGGATTTAATGATTCAATCTTAGGATTCAGCAATTGATAGGATCCAGTTATTGAATCCTAAGATTGAATCATTGAATCCTAAGATTGAATTATTGAATCCTAAATTGAATAATTGAATCCTAAGATTGAATCATTGAATCCTAAGATTGAATCATTGAATCCTAAGATTGGATCATTGAATCCTAGGTTGAATAATTTAATCCTAGATTGAATCATTGAATCCTAACATTGAATCAAAACATTGAATCATTGAATCCTAAGACTGAATCATTGGATCCTAAGATTGATCATTGGATTCCACGATTGAATCATTAAATCCTACGATTGAATCATTGAACCCTATATTGAATCTGAATCATAAGATTGAATCATTGAGAATATTTATTTATTTATTTAACTTCGCCATTATCATGCATGCATTCATGGCAGGGTCACCACAACAGTATATGTTACCAATTACTGTGGGCCCTTTAAATTTTAAATAGATAATAAAACACAAATAAAATACAACGAAAACTTCGATTTACCTGATCAAAGTCATCACACGAATTGGAACTTGAAGCCAAGCAAACAAATTCCTCGAAGTTTTCGTTGTATTGTATTTCACAAACATACTTAATTAGCTGCTTGCAAATTTTATAAAACATATAACAATTCATAGAATATAAAATAGCTATTGAAACTTAATAAACAAGGCTAGGAAGATCTGACAACTTCGAAAAATAGATCAAAACAGTAAAGAACCTGGACGTGCACAAATTGACACAAATCTATGCAAATTTAGACAGAACATAAAATTAAGACTTACAACCTTCCTAATCATGTTTATATTTCAATAAATATGAGACACTAATAGCAGCAAGAAAGTGAAGCAGCAAGACTACGAGCAGTGTTACACTTTAAGCAGATAGACTTCCATGTCCGAGGATTTTGAGGTTGATAATTTAGGTATAAGGCAGTTTTGAAGTAGTCTAACAGCAGATATTTAAATCTTGGTAAAGTGAGAGTCTGATATCTCAGTTCTGCAGGAAGAACGTTCCAAACTCTTGCTGTTCTATTCATGAACGACCCTTGGAATGTTACTGTTCTGCATTTTCTAATCCTGAACGTAATGATAATCCTGAACGTAATGATGTCAGAATTGCTCGTAGCTCGCGTTGTTCTTATATTTCCATGCTTCCGTTCAAGGATTATCTCCTCACTGACGCACACCAACCCGTTAAACATCTTGAAGAAAAACGTCAAGTCTAAATATTCATGCCAGAAACTAATCGGTAGTAAATCGGTAGCTTGTAGTCGATCCTCGTAAGTTAGTTCGCATTGGAATGGAAGGTTTAGTATG